AGGTTTGCACATGATCTGACTTCAACACGAATAATCAGTCCGGCCCACACATGTGTTTCTCTGCTTCTCAGCAGGACCCAAAAGGTACATCACTCTGAATAATCAATTTTCAGAGGCATATGCTCCACCCTAGACCAGATGTGATCGCGTAACTACACTTCACCAGACCACTTGAAAGCTCCAGATAAATTCAAGGATGATTTCTACACCTGACAGCAGAAGACTGCGGCCTCTATGTTTATACTGAGCATTTACATGTATGCATGTAATTAAGATGTTATATTTTCTACTGCAAGTTCTACTAAGCTAATAACAATGCCGTGTCACTGGTTACCCATCTATTGGGCGGTGATGACCGAGTGGTAATGTTGCTGGACGAATAATCCACAGATCCAGGTATCGTTCTGGGGACCTGGGTGCAAAACCCACCATAGCAGATGGTGGGATCTGATTCAAATAAAATTCGGAAATTAAACTTCAAATGATCACTACGAAATGATTTTCATAAAAACCCTTGAAGTGCCCTGTGCAGAAGGAAACTGCCTGGCAATGTGTTTGACTCTAAAATGCCTTCTCAAATGGCCTAGCAAGCCACATAGTCTTTGTGGGGACAAACTGCCATCTTCACATTGAGGGTATCTATATTGTGTTGTGTGGCACTGTCACTGTGCTAAATGGGACGGAGTTCAAACAGATCTAGCTACTCATCACCAACAAGCCAGGGGATCAAAACTGGCTGAATGAAGAGTCCAGGAGAAGCACCTGGTATACCTAAAAATGAAGCAAAAACCTAGTGAAGCTACGAAACAGTACCATTTGCTGCTTATGCTATCTGGCACGCATTGATAGACAGAGCCGAGCAATTCTACAACCAATGGATCAGGTCCACGTTCTGCAAGCCTACCAAATTCTGTCACGAATGGTGGTCGACAATTAAACAACTCACTGGAGGGGGAGACTCTATAAATATCGTCATCATCAGTGATGGTAGAACCCAACAAATCAGTGCAAAAGATAAGGCTGAGTATTTGCAGAATCTTCAACCAGAAATGCCAAGTGCATGATAAATCTTGACCCTTTCCTATGCTTATTATTGCAGAGGTTTGTCTTGAATCTATTCAAATAATTCCGTCTGACATCAAGTAATGGCTGGCAGCACTGTTTACAGCAACGGCTGGGTCCTGCCAACATGCCCAGAATAGCACTGAAGACTTGTACCCCAGGACTTGCTTCGTTCTTAGCCAAGTTGTTCTAGTATAGCTAGAACACTGGCATATACCTAACAATGTGGAAAATTGCCCAGATATGTCCTGTACACAAAAAGCAGAACAAATCCAAATTGGCCGGTTACTGCCCCAACAGTCTACCTCAATCATCAGTAAAGTAATGATGGGTATCAATCGTGCTATCAAGCAGCATGTCCTTAGCAATAATTTGATCACTGAAGCTCATTTTGGTTTTCATGAGGGCCACGCAGATCCTGGCCTCATTACATCCTGAGCCCAGACTTGGATAAAAGAGCTAAATTCCAGAGATCAGGTGACAGAGTGGCCACCCTTGATATCATGGCTGTAATTGTCCAGGTGTGGCAAAAAGGAGTCCAAAGGAATTAAGGGAAAACTCTTCACTGGAGTCATACCTAGCACAAAGGAAGATGGTTGATGTTTTTGGAGATCAGTCATCTCACTTCCAGGACATCTCTGCAAGAGTTCCTCAGAGGAGTTTCCTAAGCCTAACCATTCTCAGTTGTTTCTTCTATAACCTTCCCTTCATCATAAGGTCAGACGTGGGGATTTTCACTGATGAATGCACAATGTTCAGCACCATTCATGACTCTTCAGATATTGAAGCAGTCCATATCCTAACGCAGAAAGACATGGACAATATCTAGACCTGGGCTGATAAGTGGCAAGTAACTTTCACACCACAAGTGCCAAATAATGGTCATCTCCAACAAGACAGAATCTAACCCTTGCCCCTTGATATTCAATGGCATTACTACTTCTGAATCCCCCACTATAAACATTCTGGGAGTTATCATTGATCAGAAATTAAACTGGACCAGCCATATAAATAATGTGGCTACAAGAGAAGGTACTATTGGAGAGGATACTGGGGGACAAGATCAACTACATTAGGATAGTCAAGGTCTGATCAGAGATAGTCAGCATGGATTTGTGTGCAGGAAATCATGTCTGACAAATCTTTTAGAGTTTTTCAAAGAGGTAACCAAGAGGATGGATAAGGGTAGGGCAGTTGATGTTGTCTATATGGACTTTATTAAGGCCTTTGACAAGGTCCCACATGGCAGGCTAGTCATGAAGGTTAGATCGCATGGGATTCAGGGAGAACTAGCTAATTGGATTCAAAATTGGCTCGACAGTAGGAAGCAGAGGGTGATGATTGAAAGTTGTTTCACGGACTGGAGGCCTGTGACTGGTGGTGTGCCACAGGGGTCGGTGATGGGACCTTTGTTCTTTGTTAGTTACATAAATGATCTGGATGTCAATGTACAAGACATGATTAGTAAGTTTGCGAATGATACAAAATTAGGAGGTATTGTTGATAACGAGGAAGGTTATCAAAAATTACACAGGGATCTTGATCAGATGGGTAAGTGGGCTGAGGATTGGCAAATGCAATTCAATACAGATAAGCGTGAGGTGTTGCACTTTGGAAAGTTAAACCAAGCTACGAATTATAGAGTAAATGGTAAGGTCCTGATGAGCATTGTGGCACAGAGGGACCTAGGAGTACAAGTACATAGTTTGTTGAAAGCAGTGTCACAGGTGGAGAGGGTGGTGAAGAAGGCATTTAGCATGCTGGCCTTCATTGGTCAAGGCAATGAGTACAGGAGTTGGGACGTCATGTTACAGTTGTATAAGTCATTGGTGAGGCTGCACTTGGAATATTGTGTACAGTTTTGGTCACCCTGTTATAGGAAAGACACAGTTAAACTGGGAAGTGTGCAAAGACGATTTATGAGGATGTTGCCAGGGCTAGTAGGCCTGAGTTATAGGAAGAGGTTGGACAGGATAGGACTTTATTCCTTGGAACGTAGGAGAATGAGGGGTGACCTTATTGAGGTGTATAAAATCATAGATAGGCTGAATGCATATAGTCTTTTTCCCTGGGATGGGGAATTGAAAACTAGAGGGCATAGATTTAAGATGAGAGCGGAAAGATTTAAGAAGGACTTGAGGGGCAACTTCTTCACTCAGAGAGTGGTGCATCTATGGAATGGGCTGCCGGAGAAAGTGGTTGAGACAGGTACAATAGGAAAATTTAAAAAACATTTGGATAGGTACATGGATGGGAAGGGCCATAGAGGGATATGGACCAAATTCGGGCAATTGGAACTAGCTGAGTGGGCACCATGGTCAGCATGGACCGATTTGGGTTGAAGGGCCTGTTTCCATGCTGTATTACTCTATCACTCTGCCTCTAAGAGTGTGTCAGAGGCTAGGAAACTGCAGTAAGCAACTCACTTCCCAACTCCCCAAAGCCTATACACTATCTACAGGGGAGAAATCAGGAGTGTGATAGAATACTCTGTATCGTCCTGGATGAGTGCAGCTCGAACAACACTCAAGAAGGTTGACACCATGTAGGACAAAGCAGCCGCTTGATTGGTACCATATCCAGAAAGGTTCACTCCCTAAACTACCAATGCTTAGCACCAGCCGTGTGTATCATCTACAAGATGCACTGCAGAAATTCACCAAGGCTCCTTAGACAGCACTTTCCAAACCATGATCAAATTCATCTAGAAGGGCAAGAGCAGCAGATAACAGGAACACCACCAGCTGCAAGTTCCCTTTCAAACCACCCTCTATCCTGACTTGGAAATATATTGCCGTTCCTTCAGTGTCACTGGGTCAATATCCTGGAACTTCCTCCCTAACAGCATTGCGGGTCTAACCTAACCAAATGGGCTGCAGCAGTTCAAGAAGGCAGCTCATCGCCACCTTCTCAAGGGCCTCCTGGGATGGGAAATGAATGCTGGCCCAGCCAGGATACTCTCATCCCATAAATGAATTAAAATTTAAAAATTTGTACATTCAGGGTATGCTTAAATTATAATATTATGGGCAATGATCATGATAAGTTTAACAAAGGGCTACTTTCCCTTTGTCTTAAATGCACACAAAGCTAACAGAGACATTTTAGGTAACCTTAATGATCAGCAAACAGCTGAAATACAACAAGTATATTTTGGCATATGATCCATAAAACATCAGTAGAGATACAAGATTTCGACATCAACAAAATTAGCTGGACAAGATGTACCTTCTAGTGATTTCTCTTAAAATCAAAAAATTATCACCCTGGGACTTGATTAAACTAGACTTGGAATATATGCAGTTAATTTGCACCAAATAAGGGCCTCTAAATGACTATCACAAACTCTGCTCACCAAGTATGTGGTTGGCTTTCCTGAAATTTCAGAAATCGTTTTGTTGATATTATACTTCATCACATTTTCTAAATCCAGGAAAATGTTATTCCCAGATCAGAGAAAGATTAGATAAGAATAGGTATTTATTACTTGGATTAATTAATCTTTGAAGCCAGATGCTCAACAAACACAAAATAAAGATAAATACAAATCAAGAGATATTTAGCAAGGCTTTACAAAGTCACAGAAAAATCTCACAGGCCATAAAAATGAACTAATTTCTTTTCATCTTCATCATGTAACAAAAACCTTTCAATGCAATATTTTGATAAGTCCGTGAAATATCTCAAAGATAAAAATGACATTTTAACTTCACACTACTGGTGCAGGACTTTCTTGCCAATATCCCAGATTGACAATTCAGACAGAACCATGTACAATTTTTAAATCATGTTCAGAAAATCATGAGTAGGTCACACCTGAATTTTCTGACATGCAATACCAGCCAACAAAACTATCCACGGACCAGAAGAGGTTAGTTTAATAACTTCAAAACAAATTTGTAAATTTTAAACACAAAATAAAAATATAACGTACTTACCTTACTTCTGGTGTTGGTGATCCTGTCACAATGCATTCGAGCTGGACTTTGCTTCCCTCTGCTGCCTCCCTGCTCTTTAATCGCTGAATGAATCGTGGTGGATTTCCTTCAGTACCTTCAATGTAAAGAGGTCTTGATTGAATTTCAGTTGCTTTAGCTTCTGTTGTTAGTGTCTCAGTACCTGCTGATATAACTGGAGCTTGTGCTATTGCTTCAGATTCCTCTTTAGTTATGATTTTGTCATTCAACTGAGCCGAAAATGGTACATGTACTCTCTCCCTCTCGTCGACAGACCAAGATGAATGTTGAGCTTGTGAGCCAAGCTTTGTCTGCGCCCTGTTTCGTGAGTTTTTACAGGTTCTAGGTTTAATCCGTTTTGTACTTGTTGTTTTAAAAAGTGAAGATAACTCCTCAATAAAATCTGCAGCTTTACTTAAGTAATCCTTTTTAGCCTCTGCTTCAGTACAGTAAGGGGTGTTCTTTGTCTGTTTTCTTAATTCTCTGTGACTTTCTTTTGAGCTGCTGGGTCTTTTGGTGAAATTCTCACAGTGGTACGGTTGACTGGTCAGCTTTTCTGGGAAATCTGAGGAACCTGCAGAATCTAAAACTTTTCTGTTCCCAGCAGGTTTCAAAGTGTCATACACATCTTTGGTGGTACAGGTTACATTGATCTGCTTTTCATCTTTCTTCACTTCATCAGAACACTGGGCAATTGCTTCCTGAGCTAAATTGACACTTTTGTCCAATTCTTCCTGACTCAAAAATGCAGACAGGTCAGGGGACTCATCCTGACCATCTAAATCCTGGGAAACCCCAGATTTACTGCCATAATAGAAATGTTGAGAGGTAGCTTCTGACCTGCTTTTCTCGCCGTGTTCTTGATGTATCCGGACTTCGGCTAAATAGCTCTCCCTCAGAAGCTGAGAAATGGACGTGGAAGCTTCAAGGTTTTCCTCTTGCATTCTGTCAGGTTAAAAAAAAATCTAGGTTACAGCTTCTGCCTTAATAACTACATGTTGCTAACTGAACCAAACATCCAGTCATACATAGTATCATAGAATCCCTACAGTGCAGAAGCAGGCCATCCGGTCCATCGAGTCCACACCAACCTTCCGAAGAGGATGCCACGCAAACCCACCCCCCCCACCCTATCCCGGTAACCCTGTGTTTCCCATGGTTAATCCACCTAGCCTGCACATCCCTGGAGACTATGGGCAATGTGTATGGCCAATTTATCTAACCTGCACATCTTTGGATGCTTTACTGTATCTTTACAATTGGAAGATCTCATTGTACCAGTCACTGCTTAACTTCACAACCATCAATCAAAGGGTGATTTTACATACTAAGTCCGGTTTCCAATGAAGTGGGACTTAATGAATAACCTTGTTCCAGATTTCAGTGAAGCACCGAACTGAAATCTGACAGGGCTTGCTTGTCTTGCTCCCCACTCATCACTGGGTCCATATCAGCAGTCATGGAATTAGATCCTTAAATGGGCATCAATTGTCCACATAAGGACATAAAGCAGTGTAAGAAGGCAGTTCACAAGCCTTTCCGCTACAGGGAGACACAGAAAGGCAGCAGGATCTCTCCCTGCAGCCTCGCACCTAATTAAATGCCTACCCTCCACCAAACTCACCAGAGGGGAGGGTAAAGGATTCCAAAGATCATCCCTGTCCTGGCCAGGACCTTGTACCAAGATGACCTGGGGCTCCCATCCTACCCTCCCACCCAAAATACATTGATGTTTCATATCATACAGACCCTATACTCTCTCTCTAATTCAGGTGTATGTCAATCCCAGTGTTGGTATTTGTGAGCAACTGAGTCCATCCCAAAGAATCAAAAACAGTAACAGTTGGAAAAAACGACTGGTCATACTAGATTTCCATTTTGAAGTATACAAGTCAGACCAGTATGCGTCGTTCACAAGTTTTACTGGCTTTACTTTCTGGACGACAGTGCATATAACTCCTCCCAGAAGAAATCCCTTTCTCTGAGTCTGCTTCTTCCTAGGACTGTGGCTACTTAGAAAGACCTACAGGAACTAAGCAACAAGTGTTCAGATGGCACTGAAGGATCAAATAGAAACAGATGATACCATCAAATTACATGACTATGATCTTCTCAAAGGAGGGTGCAAGTAATAGTCAAAAATTCTGTTCTCATAAAACGTGAGCCTCATGACTTTCTATCCAGACAATTATTGATCTCGTGTACTTGCTACTCTGGTGCAGACAGCACTGATAAGCTGTTCTCTGGTGTTAGGTGCTGTCTTGTCCTACAGTGAAGTGGAGGGGGTGGGTGTGTGTGTTTGTGTGTGTTTTGAACACACTCAGTGAAGGAATGGGAGTAATTCCCTAGCTCTCATCTAGAAATGATGGAATTACTTACCCCAGGCTTCTCCGTTTTTCTCAATCAATCAGTCCATAACAGTGATCTGTTGCCACAATTACTCAGCATTGTCTCCGAATATACCACATTCTGCTCCTGCCTCACAGCTAAGTGATATGTTGAGCTGCACAGCTGACAAACTCCTGAAAAGGTGTTAAAATACAGGTCTTGCTCCAATGGAGGCATTGCCTGAATGATTGCTGCCAATCCCATCCCAAGTTAAAATCAATCCTCTGAATTCAACTGCTGAAAACTGGCCAAAAGTTAAAAGTGAGGCTGATCTCTCAGTTGATGAGTTTCATAAGGATCTAATAAGTGATTTTCTGGGGAAGCCTAGGAACCTTCTCTATTCTGGCCCCATTAAAATGTGGAGTGGGAAGGAACAAAAGACTTTACTGCTTTTCCTGTGGGAATTGGGTCTAAGGCTAATCAATGTAGTCAACCTACAACTATGAATTAGAAGCAGAAGTAGGCTACTTGTCCCATTGGGTCTGCTCCACTATCATCAAGACTGATTCTGATCTGATAATTCCACATTCCCACTTACTCCAGGAACCTTTCACTCCCTTGTTCATCAATAATCCATCTATCCCTGCCTTAAAAATAGTCAAAGACTCTGCTTCCACTATCTTTAGAGGAAAACGGTTGCAAAGTCTCTCAACTTTGAGAAAAAAAATTATCATCTCTGCCTTACCTGGGCTCCACATATTTTAAAGCAGTGGTCGCTAGTTCTAGATTTTCCAACAAGAGAATCACCCTTTCCATATCCACTTTGTCAAGACCCCTCAGGATCTTATGTTTCAGTCAATTTGCCTCTTATTCTTCTAAACTCTGGCAAATACAGGCCTAGACTGTCCAACCTTTTCTCATAAGATCATAGCTATTCCAGGTATTAGTCTAGAAAACCTTATGTGTACTGCATCCAACATATTTATCTCTTTCCTTAAATAAGGAATACTGTACACAGTACTCCAGAGGTGGTCTCACCACTGCCCTATATAACTGAAGCTTAATCTCCCTACTTTAGTATTCAAATCCCCTCACAATAATCAATGACTTTCTATTAGCTGTCCCAATTACTTGTTGTATCTGTATACAATTTTGTGACTCATGAATAAGGACATCCAGATCCCTCTTCATTAAGTTTTGCAGCAAATGTTGCATTAATCAGAAGCACAATGCATTTCCTTTCTGCATTCTTAAAATTAAGGGCCCTAAATGCAGCTGCAAGAATATGGTAACCATAGTTTTTTTTTATTTGTTCGCAGAATGTGGGTGTCGCTGACTAAGCCAGCATTTTTACCTATCCCTAATTGTCCTCAAGAAGGTGAGGGTGAGCTGCTTTCCTGGGCCACTGCAGTCCATATGGTGGTGATGTCTGGATTTGCCGTTATTGTTTCCAGTGCCAGGTCAATGCTGAGTGGTACATCTGGTTTCATTCCTTCAAGTCTTTTTAGTCATCTAATTCAATTGAGTGACTTGCTAGACCATTTCAGATGGCAGTTAAGAGTCAATTACATTGCTGTGGATCTGAAATAATATAGACCAGACGAGGTAAGAACATCAGACTTCCTTCCCTAAAGGATATTAGTGAACAAAATAGTTATTTTACAATTGCCTGTGGGTTCACGGTCATCATTACTGAGACTAGCTTTTAATTCAATGTTCGCTGAATTTAAATTCCACCAGCTGGTGGAATTTCAAACAATGTCCCCAGAGGACTAGCAGAGCTAATTATTACCAGTCCAGTGACTACACCACTGCCTCCCCCACCTCCAGACAGTAAGCAGGAATTAAACTGACTTCAAGACCGTAATGTACAGATAGGGTTTGAAAACATTAGTGCAACATAACTATCCAAATGTCAAGGAACAAAGGAGGTGTTTATTTTGTCGAACTTAGGGCAAAGATTTGGAGTAATCCTGTGGTTTCAATAGGAACCATAATTGCTGGAAATACACAATGAAGATAGAGGGAGTCACACTGTTGAACGAATTCCAACTCGCACTCTCTTTAAACACAAGTACTATATTTTACTGGAAGCATGAGATTGCAGAATCACTTGCTGCTCCAGCCAACTTTTATAATCCTATCCTTCAAATAGTTTCATTTTAGAAACCATTTCTGTTTCTAAATATTTCAATTCTGGATCGTTGTTTCTAAATATGTAAAAAAGATGATTCATTCACAAAGTAAAACTGTAGTTTTAAAAGATACTGTGCAGTGACATGTCACCTGTCATCCGACATTCTTTCTGGAACTCAGTCCCTGACAGCTCTTGGGTTTACACAAACTGCAGTCACCACCCCTCCTCAACAGCATGTAGCAGTGGGGAATAAATGTTGGTCTTACTAGCAACATTTACATTTTATGAACAAATATGAAAAAAATCTTTTCAATCTGTTTTTTTTAAAAATACTGGTATTTTCTGTCTGCTGCCCTAGAGTAGTACATATCCAGTGCTTTGAAAGAAATCTTGATGATGACTATTTCAATGCAATTTCTTCTCATATGCTTTCAAAAAAACCTGAACATTAAATATATGTATGAACATGAAGGTTGGAAACACTAAATCTGTTATCAGACTAACAGTCAATACTTCTGATGCATTGATTGCTCTGGGCTGACCAAATGTTCCTGACACTCAAACCATAGAAAGTAGCAGAGGGAACATTGCCCTTCCAGAAGAACTCTTTCTGCAGCTGTTGTGTACGTTAATTCTGGGAGCAGATCCCCTAAGCAGAAATCTAATTATAGTCTTGTGATATCAATTTACTATACAAAAATCAAAGCAGGCCCTGAGTCATCTTAAATTTGTTTCAAACAGTTAACCTACTTTGTAATAATGATACTGAATTTTAGAAATGGACTGGGAGATGAGGTCATTCTACAAGAAGCTATGACGTCACCTGAATATCTATGGCATGTCTGTCGGAACACAAAGCAATGAAAGCTTCAGTCGCTTAATAAGATAAAAATACATCATCCAACAAGTCCGGAACGCACGCTGAAATGAAATCCAATGACAATGTTTAAATAAGGTTCTTAGCATCGGAATACAGCACTTCTTTCTGCTAAACAGAAGCTCAGAGTTTGGCAAGCGTTTACTCTTTACGGAAGTACTGATTCAAAGAGCATGCTACTTTCAATTCTATATTCATTTCAACAAACTATTCAAGACAATAACACTGCATTAAACTAACAAAACAATACCTTTTGACTGGCCCAGTGGATGGTGTGATATGAAAATCTAGCAATGGCAGTTACTCAGTAGAAGTTGGAGATGAGAGATGGGAGGACAGCACTGCAATCCTTAGACCCTTGGGAAAACAGCAACTAACAGCCCGGGGGTTGGTTGAGAGTTAACCTTGACGTTGGTGAGATAGTGGTAATAAGCAATGGGCAACCTGTCACCACGGTACAAGTAACATTTGTCAGCATATTGAGTCCGAAGTTATTTTCGGCAGATGAGACCATGTGGCTAGGAAATGTTCACCTCATTGGATGGGGGAAGTATGTACAGCACCTCAGACACTGACTTAAAGTTGAGCCTGTAACAGACGTTTCATGTATATTCTCGAGATCTTTATTGATTGATCAGCATTGAAGATAATTAGAAGTGGGACTACAATGCAGAGCACTGCATTATTTAAAACCTGTTACTTCCCTAAAAAATCTGAAAATTAGAATTACAGCATGTAATTTCAGAATAAAAGTATGGATAAAATACACAAATATTTTTCATTATATTTCCCAGTGACAGCTTAACAGGTGGGTGCTTCCAAAAATAGCTGCTACAGTCAGTTGCTTTGTTGAAAAGATTCATGTGCTGATTTACTGTTTAAAAAATGCGTATGCATTAGTTGTAACATTTATAAAAATATGGATTGTACATTATTCTTTTATGAAAACAGAACAAATGCTTAAGAAATTTGCTTTGCACTTATTCTCTTATTCCAAATTGAAGCACTTAAAGTGTAATTCAGCTGGTCAAAATTTCCCTTCTTGGGACATATGTTAAATGATATTGTTAATGATTCCCTCTCCCCAGGTATTGTTTCCTCATCCACTCCATTCAAATCTATCACGACACCCCCCCACTCCCCACCCGTGACTTCTCTGTCACTGCAAACCGCTGTCACATCTCTAACTTCACATTCTTCTCCAAAGTTCCAAAGAACATATTATCAACTTTCAAATCTGTTGTCAATTTTTCCCCATAATTTCATATTTGAGTCAGGTTTCCAGCTGTCCTATAGTTCCAAAACTGTTCTTATCAAAGTCACAAATGATATTGTGCATGGCTGTGACTGTCAAAAACTATCCCTTTTTGAACTTTATGTAGCAGAGGCCTGTGACCAGCAGTGTTCAACTGGGTCCACTTTAGTCATGATTTAGATGAGAATATGGAAGGAATGGTTAGTAAGTTTGTGGATGACACCAAGATTGGTAGCAAATTGGACAGTGAAGAAAGTTATCTGAGATTACAGACATCTTTATCAACTGGTCAATGGGTTGAGGAATGGCATGATGGAGCTTAATTTGGATAAATACGTGGTATTACATTTTGGTAAAACAAACAAAGGCAGGACTTATACAACTAATGGTAGGGCCCTGGGTAGGAGTTCATGGGCGTAATTCTTTGAAATTTGCATCACAGGTAGACAGTGTGGTTAAGAAGGCATTTAGCACACTTGCCTTCATTCTCAGACTTTTGAGTATAGGAGTTAGGACATGTTGAGGTTGTATAGGACATCGGTGAGGGCTCTCCTGGAGCAATGTGCCCAATTCTCGTCTCCCTGTTATTGGAAGGATATTATTAAACTGGACAGAGCTCTGAAAAGATTTACCAGGATGTTGCCAGGAATGGAGGGATTGAGTTATAAAAATAGGCTGGATAGGCTGGGATTTTTTCATTGGAGCTAGGAGATTGAGAGGTGACATTATAGAGGTTTATAAAATCATGAGGGGTATAGATAAGATGAAGGGCAAGGCTCTGATCCTTAAGGTGGGGGAATTCAAAACTGGGGGCATATTTTTAAGGTAAGAGGAGAAAGTTTTAAAAAGCGGCACTTTCTTTTTCCAGAGTGTGGTTCGTGTGTGGAATGGACTGCCAGAGGAAGTGGTGGATGCTGGTATAGTCACAACACTTAAAACACATTTGGATAAGTACATGAACAGGAAAGATTTTAAGGGATACGGGCCAAATGCAGGCAAGTGGGACTAGTTGAGTTTGGGAACATGGTTAGCGTGGACTAGTTAGACCAAAGGGCCTGTTTCCATGCTGTCTGACTCCAGTCTTTGTTAAAGTTTCCAATGTTTCTACCCAATCGTCCGGCTGGGTGGAACAACACTTAGTGGGTTCTATTATTTTCTTAACAAATCTTAGCAATGGCTTCTCTTCCCATTCTGGCACTGGTACCTGTGGAGTCTCCCATGGTTCTATCCTGGGTCCCCTTGATTTCTCAGCAACATGCTACCCCTCAGCGATATCATCTGAAAACATGTCATATCTGTTGAAGACACTCAGTTCTATTTCACTGCACTCGCTGAAGCTCTTTAACATTTATCACATTGGATTGTCTGACATCCAATATTGATAAGCAGAAATTTCGTATGACTAAAAATAGGAAAGACTGAAGCTATTTATTCGGTCTCTGCCATAAACACTGGCTATCTTTGGTAACTGTTTGAAGCTGAGCCATACTGTGGCTAATACAATGCTGTGTTGGGCCCTCAAATGAATTTTAAAACAACACTTCAGCTCTAACAGCAAAACTGATTCCAATTCCATTGTATTACCTAACTCCAATCATGCCTCTGCTCATCTGTTGATAGAATCCTCACTCTTTGCCTTTGTTACTTCAGAATTGAATATTTCAATACTGTCCTGCCAGACTCCCATCTTCTACCCTATATAAATTTATGCTCATTCAAAATTCTGCCACATGTACCTTAACTTGCTTAACTCTCCATAACCTATCCATCACCCATGCTTTTTGAGCTGCACTGGTTCCTGCTCTGACAATGTCTCAATCCTAATATCCTCAATCTTGCTTTCAAATATATAACTTCACCCCTCCCAATCTCTAACCTCGCAACAACTCTTTGAAATCTCTGCGCTGCTCCAATTCTGACCTCTTCTCATCTCCAACTTTGTTAATTCCACCATATGACGGGATACCTTGGTCCTGATCTTGAATTCCTTCCCCAGATTTTTCTGCCTCTCCCTTCTCTTGTTATTGCATCAAAAGACTGTTAGTTCAAGTTTGAAAAGAGGATTGAGGTGAACGACCTAGACAAATCTTGTATACAGCTGAAGGCAAATTGCTGTTGTGAGAAATGCCAGTCTTTGGGTGGGATGTTAGGTTCCTGCCAGAATGACTTCAAGGGTTAAGAAACAACATGTGCTGGGAAAACTCAACATGTTTGGCAGCATCTGCTGACAGAAAAAACAAAATTCATATTTTAAGTCCACTCTGACCCTCCTTCAGAACCGAAGAGAGAGCTGAAAAAGTAAAGGGGTTTATATTGTAGGAATAAAAGGTATTGCTTTCTACAATACAAACCCCATCAATTCTCCATCTTTCTATTCAGTTGTTAAAGGATCATTTTACTTGCGAGGCAGAAAACTGACTTCAATACCCAGTAGAATTGGGCAGGTGGACAACTGGCAATGCACTCAATTCTGTCCAGGTTTCAATTCTATATTAATTTCAGCAAACCATTCAAGACATTAATACTGTATTAAACTAATAAAACCTTTTGACTGGACCAGTGGATGGTGTGATATGAAAATCTAGCAATGGCAGTTACTCAGTAGAAGTTGGAGATGGGAGATGAGAGATGAGAGATGGGAGGACAGCGCTGCAGTCCTCTGACCCTTGGGAAAACAGCAACTAACAGCCCGGGGGTTGGTTGAGAGTTAATCTTGACGTTGGTGAGATAGTGGCAATAAGCAATGGGCAACCTGTCACCATGGTACAAGTAACATTTGTTAGCATAGGTTAGGTTAAAATTGCTTAGGAGTCAACTCCTACCAACTTAGGAGGCACCTTAATTATGGGTCAAGTGCTGGAAAGTGGGATTAGAATGGTTAGGTGGTTGTTTTTGACCAGTGCAGACTCGAGAGGCGAAAGAGTCTTCTTCTGTGCTGTAGACTTCACTGATTCTATGCAAGTTTTTAGAAATAACCAAAATCTGACTTCAAAAGGAATTTGGACAGAGAGTAAGGTAATTATTCTGACATCATGAGAATGTGCCCAGTATTCATTGGTCATAGGGTAAAAACTATACTAGCCCTTAAAAATAAAATATATTAATAAATCTTCATTGAGGGAAGTCCTCTCTTCAAGTGGCCATGCTTCTTGGGCATTTGCCTTCTTCAGCTGGACGATGAACCAGGTAAAAACTGAAAGGACTGTGGATGCTGTAAATCAAGAACAAAAACAGAAGTTTCTGCAAAAGCTCAGCAGGTCTGGCAGCATCTGTGAAGAAAAAAATCAGAGTTAACATTTCGGCTCCAGTTCTGAGGAAGGGTCACCAGACCCAAAATGTTAATTCTAATTTTTCTTCACAGATGCTGCTAGACCTGATGGACCAGGTAAGATGGAGCATGACACAGGGGAAGGGCACAGTTTCCTAACAGTCCAACTAGACAGCAGGATGCTGTCTTCACAAGCTATTGGGGTGGTACGGTGGCTCAGTGGTCAGCACTGCTGCCTCATGGCACCAAGGACCTGGGTTCAATTCCACCCTCAGGCGATTGTCTGTGTGGAGTTTGCACATTCTCCCTGTGTCTGCGTGGGTTTCCTCCAGGTGCTCTGGTTTCCTCCCACAGTCCAAAGATGTGCAGGCTAGGTGGAGTGGCCATGCTGAATTGCCCATAGTGTTCAGGGGTGTGTGGATTAGGTGGGTTACAGGACGATAAGTCTGGGTGGGATGCTCTGAGGGCTGGTGTGGACTTGTTGGGCCGAAGGGCCTGCTTCCACACTGTAGGGATTCTATGATCAACGTACTGTGCCAACCATCCATTCATCCTCTAGTTCATCGACCAACCCCCACCTGTCATGAGTTATGTCCTTTACCGGTCTATTTAGCTGATGTTTCATTCTAAACTGTTGCTTCTTAATAAATTTAATGAAGTATCTTAAACGTACCCACAATCTAACACCTATTTAAATAATCGTGGTTCCGAATCCTAAAACTCATGAGAATTAGATATGTATAAAATTATTTCCAGTTCAATTTTCCAGTCAATTGCGCAAAGTTGATACTCACTATTAAATAATGATA